CCTCTGGACAGGCAGAGTCCTGGGGCCTGGAAATGCCAGAGGCTGTTCTGCAAGAATGCCTGCTGGACATTGCAGGATGGAGTACCACCAATGCTGTAACTTGGGAAAGAGTAAGTTGTGTGTCCAATGTGAGGGTCATGTGGAAACCCAACAGAAGAATGAGCCGCTAAGACATAGTTGCGAGTTGCTGAAACAGGTCACAGGAGGAATTGGGAAACTGGCTGAATGGTTATTAATAACTAAAAATAATTACCATGTATTAGGAAACTACTGATGTGCCAGGTACAGTTATATACTTTATCTTCTTAATCATCATGACAACCTGTGTAATAGGCTTGCACACAAAGAAACTGAGGCTCAAAGGACTAAGTGACTTGCTTAAGTTCCCACAACAACAACAAGCAAGTGACGAAAATGGGGGCAAACCCAGGCAGTGGGCCACAGTCTACCATGCTCCATTGCCAATATAGGAATGGAGGGTATGTACTATGACATCTCTTTTATACGGTGTTCAGCATGGGCTGTAGAGGCCTGGGCCCGGCTGATTCGGGGGTCCACACTGGTAGAGACCCATGACCCATTCCATAGCTTGTAAAGAAATAATGCTCTTGTCCCCCTTATGACCTATTTCTGGCTCTTGTATCGATGCTCGAGTCATTGCATTATACCGGGATGGAGTTTCCTTCTCATGTATTATTTAACAACATTATTCATTGTATCTGTTGTGGCCTTAAGAAGGACTTCTTAAAGTTGAGACATGTGGCCTTTCCCAAGTCAATCACCACAAGAAAAGGCATGAAACCGAGAAGGTGGGAGAAAGGATTCCCTGTTGCTCTAGGGCTCTTTCCTTTACTCGCATGCTAGGCGTCAATGAGCATGGATTTCTAAGGCATGACTTTCGGATGCTGGATGGTGCCCAGCATATAAAGACTGAATGATACCCAAAGCCATAATCTAAAGACCAAGGAGTATCTTGAGAACCAGATTATCTAGTTGCAAGTTACTCTCTGTGTTTTTTCCTGCTACTATCTCTGAACACTGCATGAAGAATTGTGTAAATATCCCAGCCTACCCTCTGCTCTACAGGGGAGCTGTTAAGAGAAGGATTGTAGTCACGGCATTAAAGAGGAGTAGCGCCCTCTGAGGTCCTCGTGAAAGGTGAATCTTTGGAAATGAGAGTTGGGCCATGTTGTTTTTTCTGCCTCTCTCCATGTGGAGAATCTTCCTCCCAACTCAGCCTTGCAGCGAATATCACTTAGGATCTTTTTGACTGCAAGGAACAGAATGTGTTGAATCAAACAATAGGGAGATGCATTATCAGACATAACAGGAGGCTTGGGGTAGAGTAGGCCCCAGGCAGGCTGCAACCCACATTTCAATGATGGCATCAAATACGCAGGTTCTTTCTGCGTTCCACTCAGCTGCCCTCAGTGTCAGCTGCTACCCCAAACTGGTTTCCCTTGTGGTTTTAAGATGGCTGCTAATGGCAATCAGGACTACGTCTTGTGCATATCAAGAAGTATGATGCTACCTCAATTTTTTGACTATAATTTCTTACAAAGGGAGAATTGTAAGAAATAGTAACAAGTGGGGTGTGACCCCAACAATGCACAGGCTTACAGGGTAAGCACCCAGATTGTGTGGTGGTTGTGGTCAGGAGATGGTTTGGTTTCGGTAATAGCAGTGGCAGTGCTTACATTAGCAGTGGCTAAATAGCAGTGGCTTCTTACATTCTATAAATCTCCAAGCACAGACCAGAAAACTGTCTAGTTTAGCTACTAGAAATTTAATGAATCAGGGATTTGGATTCATTAAATTTCTAGTAGCTAAACTAGACAATTTCTTTGACTATAATTTCTTACACTTCCCACTCCTGGACCAGTAACAGACGTCAGTGGAATGCCATGCTGGTAATGGGTGGATGTCTGAACAGAATGAGGATTCAGTTGGGAAGTTCAGTTAGCAACCAGCAGAATCTGCTGCAGAGTCTGGATATTATTTTATTTTACCGTGGAAAGTGGCAATTTCCTTAAAACTGGCCTTTGCTTCTGTGGTTTGCTAGAATTTAGGGGCCCCTCCTTCTATGGAGACTGAGAGCCAGGTGGGGTTGCAGGGACACTACTGCCAGGTACACACAGTGCCAAAGCCTCATGCCACAGGTGACTTTTTGTTTATGGCTAATCTCTGAGTCACCGTCCAGAGTTTCAAGGGGCTGTAGCTACCAAGGGCTGACCCTATCCTTGTGGAGACAACTGGGATACAAAGGAAACCCTTAAAATCGTGGGTCTGGAGAATTTCTAGGTACCAACATGTACCACTGTCTTATGCAAACCTGTCCAGACAAAGGCTTCATAGCCTGTGGTCCTAGGAAACTGTATTCATGGTCTGGCAGTGCTGAGTTGGGCCCTTTGCTTCCAGGCGGCCGTCGAAGATTTCAGTTGACCTTTTCCGTGCACTGCAGTTAATGTGGCCTTAAAAAAAACTATAGATTCCACATCTGGAGCCCCAGCCCTCATTCCCTTCACTGAATGTTCATTTTCTAAGTGTCTCCCAAGAACCAGGCACCAAGAAGGAATGATTATTTACATGCTCTTCTACCTTCTTCTATTACTCACCATGCAAGGAAGTAAGGGATCATATCAAAGGCAGACACTTCAGTGAATTTCTGATTTGGGAGGTACTGCTGGGAGCATGGAGGTGATGGATGGAGGAGTGCTTGGAATATGAGCTGCACATGCTTTTGTGGGGAAGGGGTTCTGTGGAGCATAATAAATGATAGGAGTCATTATGGGTCCAGGCTACCCTAAAACAGCCTTGAAAATAGCTACTTGCCAAGGGAAGCCCATATGTCATACTAGTTAACGTAGATCATGCAGAGTAGAGGTTTCGTCTATCAAGTATCCCATATGTCACTCCTGACAGGTAAGAAGGCTGCTGAAACTCAACAGAAGGCAAGCCTGGTGTTGACTGGGGGACCATGGAGAGCTGCTGTCAAGGCCACTGTTTGTGACTCTTCATCTGGCATGCTCTCACTTCAGAGAGGCAAACAACATATTGATTTTCTTCACGAGTGGTGTCTCAGTGACTAAGTCAGCGGCAAAGCTGCCAGCACCATGTAAGCAGCCCGGATCAGGATGGCGGAGGTGGGCATGTGGCACGTTAAGCACATACTCTATTCTGTGTATACTGGTTTTTAAAAACAAATAGCACAAACTTCTGCAGAAACTGTGTGAGTGTAAGTGTGGGGGAGGGGGGCGGGGGCGTATGTACCTATCAGAGGAAATGTGTTACATTTTGTGGACCTGAGAGTGTTTCTATCAAAACCATTTCTATTGAAGCTTCAAAAATTTTGCAAGGTCTCAGAGTCCTGTGACCTGGGAATGGTGGACACTGGCTGTATCTGGCGGGATTCTGGCCTGGGGGACTTCCAGAGCCAAGTAGCACCCTGGGGTGGGCAGGCCGGGAGGGAGCTATGGACTTTTGCTTCTCCTCATGGCAGTGGGCTACCCTGAGACAATCCGGATAGGTGTTTGGTGTTCTAGGAAGGAACTTACCCTCTGCCAACTCTGGGCCTGGAGCCTTCCCCATGTGCACTGGCTCCTCATACTTTGAGAAGTTCAACTTAAGCCTAAATGTTAGAGGGTAAACCACCATTCCCTCTAAGGCCACCACCACACCCTTCCACCTTCATCCCTGCCTCCTCCTCTGGAATCACCTCCCCTCCATCTTTAACCACCATCACTACCATTCCTGCCACCCTGTCACCTCTACTCCTCCCCCACCACCTTCATCTCCAACCACCATCACCACCACTTCCGCCATCATTGGCCACCGCCACCACCTCTGCCACCATCAGCACCACTTGCACCTCTTCTACCACCACCAACACCATCACCACCACCTTCATTGTTAGCAACAAGCCACCACCTCCATCATCATCCCTACCTCCTCCATCAGGACCACCAGCACTGCCACTGCTATTACCGAAACCAAACCATCTCCTGACCACAACCACCACACAATCTGGGTGCTTACCCTGTAAGCCTGTGCATTGTTGGGGTCACACCCCACTTGTTACTATTTCTTACAATTCTCCCTTTGTAAAAATTCTTACATTCTATAAATCTCCAAGCACAGACCAGAAAACTGTCTAGTTTAGCTACTAGAAATTTAATGAATCAGGGATTTGGATTAAATGACCGACCAATTCTTTGCCAGCTCCAAGATTCTTTGGTAGGCGTGTGTGTCTGTCTGATTATGTGTGCATACTCATCCATATCCATATGCACGGAGGCGGCCAGTTCAGTCTGGTAATTGTCTGTCTTTCCAGGAGAATTTCTGATAGAGCCTAGATTTAGTGTGTAGAAGGAGACAAGGCACAATGACCACTGTGCACGTGTAAGCCCCGCCAAGCTCACGCCATTCAGCACTACCTTAAAAACCAGTGACGTGTCCCAGGAACTCTGGTTCACGGCAAAGCTTGGGGGTTGCATGGCATAATGGAAGAGTCATCATGGAGAATTAGAAAAGACTGGTGTTAAAGAGCATTTAGGCCTCCTACTCACTGAATGACCTTAGGTGAATCACTTTTCTCCCTCTTAGCTTCAACTTCCTCTCCCTGTAATGGGAAAAATTTTACCCACTTCCTGGTACTACTGAGGGGACTAAAAGAAAAAACATGTGACAGTACCTGATGCCAGCCTGGAACACAAGGGGTATTAGCTCCTGCCTTTGCTCCCCCACTGCTCCGACTCCCTGAAGCCCTCGTTGTTTGGGGAGCACCATCCTTGGTCCAGTTCTCTGAGACAGTGGGCTTCCTGTTCTCAGTTCTATCTCAAATGGCTCTGAAGAAAGAACACGGTGATCCTGTAAAATGTCACTGAATCAGAAGTTCTGCAGCTTTGCCAACAATCTGGGGGAGAGGACTTTAGAGCAGCTACAGGGAGAAAGTGAGAGGACACAGTCCTGGGCTTGAGCTCCTGCTGGGGACGGACGCTGGGCCTTCCATCTTTTCTGCCTCTTTAATGTGGGAACACACCACACACACACACACACACACACACACACACACACACACACACACACACACACAGAGGCCCATCCCACTGCTGGGGCAGAGGATAGGGCAAGCAGGGAATGGGATCTGAGTCCCCAGAAGCCCAGAACTGGTGCCCATGGGGTTTGGTTGATTCACTGCCCATGTCCAAATGACTCTGCCCAGGCAGTGCCTTCCACTGCAGGCCTCACCCCGGAGCATACAGATGAGCAAGCGGACAGCCTCCCTGCCAGGCCCCCTCAGCAGGTTTTTTTGCTCCACTTTTCTCCCTTCTGACTATGTCTCTTGCCAGCCTTTAACCCAGGTCTCTCTCTCCTTCCCCTTGGCCTCAGCAATGGGGGCTGGCAGGCCAGGAGGCCACAGAAGCACAGGCTGGGGCTGGGGAGCCATTGAGAGATGACGGCTTGGTGACAATGCCTTCACCTCTGTCCCAGCTGCTAGCACTGTCCTCGAAAGCCCAGGGTCAGCTCCCAGAAGCAAAGCCAGCGAGCCAGTTGGGTCTGCCTCTTCAGCAGTCATGGCGCTTCCTGGAAAGTGCCTTTTTATTTCCTTTTTTAGCTCATAAGACTATTCATGGGAATAAATTCTGACCAAACCTTGGGGTTCACGTGTTGGCGTCTACTGGAGGTGGAAACTTCACTAAAACCCCGAGCCCTGGATTTGACCCCTGTTTTATCGCATAAGGCTAGATGACTTTGGACCAGTGACTTATCCTCTTTCTTTATGCCTTTCTATCTTAATCTGTAAAAATAGGAATAATGACATCTGTTAAGAGAGCTGTTGTGAATTTAAATGAGATTATTTAAATGAGAGTTATTTTCTGGCCCTTGGAGATTTCCCAGTGTTCTACAAATGTTAGCTAATGCTGCTCCTACTACAACCGCCTCCATCACTATAGTCAGTCACTGTCAGCAGAGCGTGTTAGAAGAGTTAACACCGACCCCAAAGCTGAAATCAGCTTTAGCTGCCATTTAATTTGCACTTACCATGTGAGTACTCTGTTGGGTACCTTCGCTGACATGAACTAGTCTAACCCTCATGATTAGCCTATGCAGTAGGTCATACAATTTTCTACCCATTTAATGAGAAACTTCAGCGATAATGGTGGAGTCGGTGGGGGCGGGGGGGTGTGGTAATTTCTTAAGGTCCCAAGGACAATGAGGGTAGGGAAGGGAACTTTGCATATTCTTGATCCAGGCATTTATCGCGTTATTTATGCCTTGCTTCAGTCCAAAGAAGAGTTGAGGTCATGTGTCAAGCAGCAGAGTGCCCTAGAAAGTACAAAAACATCAAAACTGATGAGCTCTGGGTTGGAATCCCAGCTCTGTCACATACTAGTCAAATGACATGGGAATGTTATATAAAACCTCTGTGAGCTTCAGTTTCTACCACCCATTGAATTAGCTATGCAAATTGAAAGATATTCATTATCATCCCCATTTTCCTGATGAGTAACTCAAGAGTCAGAGATGTTGAAACTTTACAAAGTTTGCAAAACTATTAGGTAAGTAAATAACAGAGCCAGATATTGGCCCCAATTTGAAATCTGATCTGATTTCAAATTCCAAATTATTCTGAGCTATCTAAATGGTGCCCTTCCCAAGTGCAAAGCTGGGATTCAAACATAGTACCGTGCTTCCTATCACTGTCGTTCTTCTAGCAGCATTGGACTTAAGGGGAAAACATACCAGACATTCTGACTCCCCCATTTGCACCTGCGGCTACCGAATGATTAAATGTCTCAAGCCCTTCTTTCAAGAATAATTAAAAACTATACTGCCTTCAAAGTGAAGAGGGAGAAGATGGACCAGTGGAAAGTGAGGCAGCCTGGATTATAGCTTGAGTTACTGGTTTCTTTCTCCTTCATCCGCCATTCCATGTACCATTGCAGTCTGGCATCTGCTCCAACACACCTTGGGAAAATGCTCTCCTAAGGTTATCAGTGATCTCCTGGTGGTCAATCTCACAGGCCTTTAAAATTTTTCCATCATTTAGTGCCAAATATATACAAACAACCTGCTACACAAAGGCACTGTGGGAGATGATTCAACCTTTAAAAGGTGCCAGGCCTCAAACCCAGTACAGTCTGTGGTGGGGAATGACAAGAAGAAGAATAAGCAGAATGCAAGGCAAAGCATGAGACGCAGATGCACAGACAGCTCTGGGTGTTATCCTCACCTGTCCTCCCTCCCGCCTCCGGCTCTTCACCCTACCCATCTTCTCTGTGTGATCTTTCCACTCCCACGAATGAAGCTACCCGCCCCCCCACCACCCCCAACAACCACTCCCCATTCAGCATCTCCCTAATTACACCCTGATCACTCAGTCGCCACTTTGATGGCCTTCAAAACCAACACGTTCAAAGCCGCACTCACCATTCCTGCCGCCAGCAGGCTTTTCCTGCAGAAATGCATCACTGTTCACCCTTAACACCTTTCTCTCCCTCGCCCCCCAAATCTAATCAGTCTCCAAAATCTTTTCAAATCTTCCTCCTGGATAGCCCTTGAACACATCTGCTTTTCTTATCTCTACAAGTCACTCGGTATATTTCAGACCACCCTGTCTTGCCTGGAGTGTTCAGCCTCCCAGCTGATCGCCTTCAGCTCTTTAGCCCGTCTCTCATCAGCCGTCCACACTTTATCAGAATGATCTTTGTAAAGGCAGACATTGATCTTGTACTTTCCATGTTAAAAATCCCCATAGTCTTCACCATAGAAGTCAAAACTCTTATGCCTGGCCCACAAGGCTCTTCCAGGCCTGACCCCACCTTCTCTCTCATCCCTTCCCATCTCCCACTCTACACCCTATTATGGTCCATAATTAAAGTGATTGAATAGTTTTTCATCTAAGTCCGAATACTCATGAGAGTGAAATGAGGCCCCAGTCATAATTAACCTGAGACCAACTGGGATTCCCCACGTTTGACTGGACAGCCCACAAAGGCCATCTCAGACCCCTAATCTAAGTAAATCTTTCTCTCTTCCCCAGAGCTAACCGGCAACTTCTCTGTGTCTCTTGGCTCACGTTTTCAGAGACAGAGAATTCATTTGTCCCAGCTCTTCTTTTTAATGCAAACCTAAGTTATAGCCCCTGGCCAGCCTCCAGCCTCTTAAAGCTGCCCTTAAGTCGGGTGACCAGGGTGGGCCATTCAGGGGTGTCTGTGTGGGCTGCCTCAGGGCGTAGTACATGGCCAGGCTCACACATTCGTAGTCACTCACTGCAGCAAGGCCTGTGGGTAGGGACTCCCTTAGAAGTGCATGGGGAGGAGGGGAGTGAGGGGCGGGGGAAGGGAGAAAAGGGACCAGGATCTGGTAGCATCTTATCCCTGGTTCCAGCTGCTCATGAAGGCCATCCATTTCCCTATTCTCTCTTCAGTTTGGTGATTTAGACGTTTGGGTTGGTTTTCTATTTCATAATAGAGTCTTGACTCCATGGGACCACCATGGATAGGTCAGACGCCTCTTCCCCAGGGCCCCCCATCAAACGCTGGAAGATAGCTCTTGGGTCCCCTGCCCCTGGGTCATTCCTGCCCAGCAGCACAGCGCAATCACTGCGCTCTGTGCGTCCCTAGAGTTCACAAGAGCCTCATCAGAGGCCACCTAGAGCTTTGCCTTTCTTTAATTGTTGGGCTTATCTGTAAGGTTTCCTTTGAACAAAGGATTCTGTAGTTTTAAAATGTTTAAAGACAACTGCCCTGAGTTTTAGAGCCAGAGCCCATGTTGGGTTCACTGTTGTATCTTCAGCGTTTACAATAGGCTATGCATACAGTGGTATCAGTAAATGTTAGACAAATGAATGCATTATTGGGATCAAGTTCCTTTACCACCTGCTCTCCTCTGAAGGCACTGGCCTCTGAGTTCCCTGGAATTATCTTCTACACTTTAAAAACCGCTCCCCTTCCTTGGGAACATTTTCCTGGAGGTGACAGGCCTAGAATGGACACCACGAAGCTCCCACCCACCCTGTTCCTCCTCCATACCCCAGCCACCCTGCCCCACCTCTCCCAGTACTGCCAACCCATCAGCTGGGTAACTTGGAGGATGTTTCTCCCCAGCTGAATTTTCTTCTTTCTCCCTTTCAAATCCTGGTGTGCCGTTATTCACTACTGGAAACAGCAGAAATCACTTTAGAGAGGAAGCCATCTGGTTCATTAGCCTGATTAAACTCAAGCAATGGGATCTGAGCACAGTTCACATGATGAATCGTGTGCCTTCTCTTTGGCCACAGTGAATTTCACAGTGATTATTAACCTTGGGGCTCAGTCACCCCTCACATCTGCAAAATCATGTGGGTCAGAAAGAGAGGACAGGGTTATAGCCAGATGATGTCGGGATTTTCTGAGTAGAAGGGGTTCAGTCTCCCCTCTCTCTCTCTCATTGCAGGCCTGGCAAAATCCACAAAGTATGCCAGGCTCCCCAGATCTGTCAGAAAGACCTGGTCTTCAGTGACAGTGAGACTTGTCTTTTTTTTTTTTTTTTTTTTGCGGTACGCGGGCCTCTCACTGTTGTGGCCTCTCCCGTTGCGGGGCACAGGCTCCGGACGCGCAGGCTCAGCGGCCATGGCTCACAGGCCCAGCCACTCCACGGCATGTGGGATCTTCCCGGACCCGGGCACGAACCCGTGTCCCCTGCATCGGCAGGCGGACTCTCAACCACTGCGCCACCAGGGAAGCCCGAGACTTGTCTTTAAAATCAGATTTTGCTGCTGATTAGCTGTGTGATTCTAGGCTCAGATTCTTCACCTGAAAGGAGGTATAAAATGTATTTTTAGAGGAGTCGCAAGGACCAGCAACTACTTAAAGCCCCGAATGGAGTGCTTCAGAATGTCTGGAGTGTAGACGGGAGTGGGCAGAGATGAGAGATGAGTCAGAACAAGGTAAGCAGGGACCAAGTCACAAAAGGTCTTATTGGATGGGGAAAGGAATTTACGATTTCACGTTGAAAGTATTGGGGAAATTGTAAAAAGAGAAAATCACAGGACAGTGATATGATCAGATCTGCATTTTGGGACGCATGAGGAATCTGCTCTCTTGCAGCAGATGTGGAAATCAGCAAGGAAGCAAAACAAATCGTCACTGCTGAGGGGCTGAAGATGGAAGGGGGCACTGGAGAGGGAAAGTCCAACTGATCCTGAGGTTTCTGGCTTGGGTGGCTTTGCAGAGAGTGGGAGCCAATCTCTACGGAAAGGAGCACAAGTGGAGAAGCAAATTTATGGGACACAAGGAGACAAACTGATTCTGGGACATGCTGAGTTGGAGTTAATAGTTCAAATGTTCCATTTAATGCCATAAAATCCGATATGTTGGGGATATAGAGTTAGACCCTGTCTAAAGGGGTCACCTCCCCAGGCCCCATTTCTAGGAAGATGAACAGGCAAATGAGCCAAGACCAATCTGTTTATCCCTCCAGTCTGAAAGTTTTCCTGGGAGGTCCTTTTGGAGGCTCTAGCAGCCATGGCTGTGTCTAGAAATACTTGTAAGTTTTCTACCAAGAAATCTCACTTGCTCTGTACAACAGCAAAACCTACCATTTCTTCCTTTGCCCGCATCCTCCAGGTATGCTCCTGTGAATATACATTTTCTCTGCTGGTTCCAGGGGTGGGAGGGGGAGGGTAGCAGCTTCAATAGGAGGGAAGAACAACTGGTTTGTGCTCCTGCGGAAAGAGGTCAAAGATGACCCCAGAGGATTGCTGCTCTTAGGGGGAAAAGTCACAAGAGTGGGGAGAATGGCAGGGATAAGTATAAGGAATAATGATAATCAGGGACAATAAAAACGAACAAAAGATGTCAAACAACCTACATACAAGGGAATCCCCAAACCTGTCTACAATAGGAGAGAAAAAGAAAATGGACCTAGTAGGTGCCTTCAGAAGGTGGGTCCTGTGATGGAAAGAGCACAGGTTTTAGAGCTCCACAGTCTCAGGTTCAAACCCCAGGTGTAAGCATGGCTGTGTGACATTGGCTAAGTCATGGAGGCTCTCTGACACTCAGTTTCTTCACCTGTGAAATGTACTGTAGAATAGTAATACTTTCCTTGCGGGGTCGGGGTGAGAGTTGGCCCAGCAAGGTGAGCAGTGCAGGGGAGCTGACGGATTTGTTTCTGTAGCTGTTACCGCCGTGATTGCCTCCATTGGCCTCCTTCCAGCTGTCCTTGGGCTGGTTCTCTCTGCTTCACAACCACAGGAACAACCCTGCATCCCCATGGGGACCCAGACCTGAGGGACCCTCTCTGGCCACAGCCCGGGAGGACACTGAATGCAGGACATCTTCACCCAAGGAGCTCCAGAGGCCCCTTTTGGTTTGTGGAAAAATGAGGTTTGGCCTCAGCTTCCCTGGAGTTTGAAGACATCTGGTGATTATGAGGAGAGGCAATGAGGTGGAATGAGGCTGGGCCTCGGTGTCTGACAGAACCACACTTGCCTCCTGCCCACTGCCACCCCAGCTCTGTGACCTTGGGTGCCTCACCTAACTCTCCTGAGCATCAGGGTCCTTGCCTCCCCCTTGAAGGGCTGCTGTGAGGATGAAATGACACAACCCACAAGAGAGTGCTGGCACATGACACGTATTTTCCTTCTCCGTCTTCCTTTCTTCTCGATATCTTTGAGATTCTTGACAAGAACAGAAATTAAATATAAAACTGCATAGGGCTCAATGATATAAATCAATCTCTTAAATGACTATTAAATGTAATTGTCAGCAGAAGAGAGCAGAAAACCCAGCAACCAGAATGCAACAAAATAAGCTGACTCTGACTTCGTGGATGGATGGAAAACTGGCCAAGTTCCTATTCTTCCCCTTTTCTTTCTTTCTTTTTTTTTTTTTTTTTTGATGCTGCAGAGATGAAGTAACACCATTACCCAGGCTGAGGAAGAAAATCTCCAAATATATTTATGTTTTGAGTTTCATACAAGAAGCAGACAGTCACCTAGAAAAAAGCAGCCCAATGATGCTTATACAGTAACTCGGGTTTTGGAGCTCAAATTGGGAACTTTTCTCCATCTCCATTCACCACCCAAAAGCAAAAGGATAAAGAGCACATTTCTGCTGTTTATTTCTATACTAAACAATCAGGAAAAGATCATGGAGTTGAGGTCCAAATTTCTATCAATTTTAATGACCAAGCATGAGGCAGTAAAGAAATCCAAAGCTCGCAGTATGTGCTTCAAGCTTTGCCTCAAGACCCAAGGAGGAAGACACAAGCTTACCCTGCAGTGACAGTGATATTTCTGGGGGAAACATCTGAGAAGAACTGTGTGGGCAGCAGTCTCTACCTTCTTAGCCTCATCACCCTTAGGAGACCCACTGTCAGAAACCAGCTCCCCGGTTCTCAACACAGTGGCACACCGCATTACTCCTAGAGACTTCGTGGGGCTTCTGTTGAGGGACCCAATGGAGGGCAGTGGTCACTGTGAGGGTCTGAGTGGAGTGTTTACCCAGGAGGCTGGAGAGGTAAGGGTAGGAAGGTGGGCAGACCATTCACATGGTAGAACTAGAAGCTAAGCTGAGGCCCTTCCTCCTCCCTGTGTTAGTTTCTACCATGCATCATGTATGGGGTGGTATGGTAGGTACCTGCTACTAAATATTTGACGAACAGCTCTGGTGAGAGTGGGGCAAGGGTGCCTGATTTACAGCAGCATTTGCTGTAAATCACAGTGGTATAAATACTCTCACTGTGGCTGATTTCAAACTACCAACATGATGTCACTGAGCACAGAATTGGGAAGAGATGCACACCATTGTCTCCAGCACACCACTGGGTAGGGCCCTGGGACCACCCCTGGCAGCAGGTGTCAATGGGTCCCATGTGTCACAGGAGGACAGACAGAAGACCCTGGCTAGCTTTGAAGACACAGATAAGGCATCATCACCTACCTCTGAGAAGTCTCATTCCAGCCCCCTCCAGCCACCTACCCCAGCTGGATGCCCTGTGCCTTTCTCTCCCAGATCAATGGTGAGGCCATGGTGTCATCATTTGTCCACACGCCAGTCCTCCCATTAAACACAGGCCCATTCTTCATTTCCATACCTCCAGCACCTAGCAGAGTGCCTGGAAAAAGTAGGCTCGTAAAGAGCGTTTGGTTACTAAATGTGTATTGGATGGACACCAGAATGAATGATGGGTGAATGTTCTGGGGCAAAGAGGAGGAGGGATGCGGAAGCTGCCATCAAGTATCTGCAGAGATGTCCTATAAAAAAGGGATGCGTTTCATTCTTACAGATGCCAAAGCAAGATCAGGACCAACAAGAGGAAGTGGCAAGAAAACAGGTTTAGAGTCTCTTTGAAAAAATACATAGAGCTCCTAGCCCCTACAAAGCCATAGAATGCAGGGTCCTCCCTGCCTTCCACCTCTGAATTAGCATCTCCTGCCCCTCACCCACTTGAAAAATGGCCCTGGTCTATTCCCCCGCCTCCAGCCCTGCCCCCATACCCCAGCACAGGGAGAGGGGTTTTTGCTGTTGTCACAAACACCGAGGGAACATCTGCTGGTGTGCATGCCTAGGCCAGCAGAGGTGGGGATCGCTCAAAGCAATGGAATATCTATAAATAAAGAAAAAGAACTCCCGGTGGGTGCTTGGGATCTCTCTCATCCTTCTTCCACCAACTGCTTGATTCTCTTCCCTTTAGACCTTAATCCCACAGCACCCTTCTCACCACCAATTCCTTCCCTGGGTGGTCGGTAATTTTTGCTCCACCTACTAGACTCAGCCTCTCAAGGACAGAGAGCAAGACGCCTGTCTGAATCCCCAGTGCCTACCATAGCATCTGGTACACTGGAGGTGCCCAAGAAGCATCTTTAAACGAAAAAATTCACAAATGAGAAAAGAAGTCCACTTCCTACACCTGTAGTTCATATATCCCAAACTGGCAAAACTCCCAGAACACCTAGAAACAATTTGCAGATCAAGAAAGCCACGAAGCTAGCTAGAGTTCTGTGAGAAGGAGATTTGGGAAAACTCAGAGTCCCCCAAAGCACATCCTTCTAGGACTAACTGTAAAAATCTTTTTCTCAGAGATAAATAACTACAAAAACTGTAAAATACAGACAGTTCCTTACTTAGGAACATGTTGTGTTCTGAAAGTCTATTTATGAAATTGTTGTTTGAAATTCTGAATAGACTTTTTCATGGACCCACGTTAAGAAAAGTAACTGACAATGTAGCTCTAACTGGAGATATTTGCAAAGGAAAATAATAAGAAGCCATAAAGCTATACTGTGAAGGGAACTTTTTCTTTTAAACATCATAAAATAGACATATGGAATGTGCCAAACTGTACAATAGCCTTTGGACCAGGGGCAACACTGGGAAGCAATAAAATGAAAATTTAAATGGTTTCTCTTTATTTATTATGGATGCTGATAACTTGAGAAAAAGCCAGTTTCATCTGGAACAGCTGCAGTTGAAAGGGATCCCTGACAGGAGCTTAGCACCGGCTGTGGTACTCAGATTTCAGGGTCCAGGTGAGTCACCTGCGGGATTTGTTTAAAGATGCAAATTTCCAGCCTCTGCCCCCAGGGAGGCAGATTCAATGGGTCTGAGATAGAACCCAGGAATATGCATTTTAACAAGCACTCAGGAGAGTCTGACCCAGGTGATTTGAAGACCACACCCGGAGGACTGCCAGCTGGAGAGGAAGGCACATCACCTCAGCTGAGCTTAAGTCTGTCTCCTGAGACTGTGTCTCTTTGGTATAGCGCCCTGCCCCTTTTTCTCCTCCCGTTTCCTTTCAGTGGTGGAAGAAGGTGGCCAGTGACTACCTGTCACTTCACGAGGTATGTATGGGTTTAGGGTTAAGAGCATATGTCAGAGAGATGAAAGAAACTATTAATCATTCAGTAAAAATTGAGGGCTGAGATTCAGCTGGTATGCTGGTGATTAAAATAACAAAAACATTATACCTGTTGGAAAATAGCTTCCACCCTGAGTATCACATCCCCCCCAGTACTTCCTTGCCAATAGCAGGCCCCAATTAAACTCTCTGTTGAATGGGATTAATAACATCTCCTTTGTAGAATTAATGTGTGTGTGTGTGTGTGTGTGTGTGTGTGTGTAAAGTGCTAGATACATAAGTATTTAACAAATGGTTATTTATTTCTATTATCATATTGCTCAAAACTACTTGGAGAAGATGTCAAAAAATACAGCCAGGCAGCAATAATCCAGTTTTATATCATACAGTTCGACTTGTTCACAAGTGCTGTAGAATGAAAATTCAAGCGTGCTCAGTGTGGGAGACACTCACTCAGAGGAAGTGGGGAGTGTACTCACCGAGGGTTCTGGTTTCTCTTACCAGCTCCACTGCTTAGTGCCTGGGTGATCTTGAGCGATCAGATCTCCAGGGTAAAGCGAGGCTGAAGGTGCTCTCAGGAGGGTGAACATAGGAACCCGCCACAGTGCCTGGCACACGGTATGTGCTCAGCGACTGGTAGCTCTTTAGAAGATTTGAAAGTGGGGATCAACCTTCCCTCAGTGGTAGAACCTCAGGGACAACAAGGAGGTCTTCTTTAAATTCAGTCCAATATTATTGATCCCCTACGATGCACAATACTCTCTGAAAGACAGGAAGATGATTAAGATGTAGTGTGAGGAACAATTGCTGTCCCAGGGATGGGGCAGGGCAATGGGTGTGAAGCACATGCAAGGAACCATAATAGGAGGCAGCCTGCTGTAAATACTAGGATAAGTGTTAAATAAATCTCAATGGGAGGAGAGGAGAGGGGATAATTAACTTCAAGAGGTAGCACTATAGAAAGAGTAAGAGAGAGGAAAAAGGCAGCTCTCCCTGCCGTGGGAGGAGCCTGAGTAGGATACAGAGATGGGTGGGTCCAAGGTGTGTGGGGATGATGAAGCCAGTCAACGTGTGGACCGAGTCCTTGAAGGGCTTACAGGAAGTTTAAGTGGATGAGTTAGCCGGGCCCACTTCATGGAGGACCTCACATGCCATTTTAGGGAATATCAAGGTTATTCTAAAGCAGTAACAACAATAATTCCATTCACTGAGAGCTTACTATGTGACTGACACTGTGCTAACTTTTGTTTGCAGCTACTTTAATTTTTTTAATAGATCTTTATTGGAGTATAACTGCTTCAGAATACTGTGTTAGTTTCCGTTGCACAACAAAGGGAATCAGCCATATGCATACACATGTCCCCCTATTCCCTCCCTCTTGAGCCTCCCTCCCATCCTCCCTATCCTACCCTTCTAGGTCATCGCAAAGCACCGAGCCGATCTCCCTGTGCTATGCTGTGTGAATTTTTTAAAAGGTAATTTCTTCTAAACCCCGTAAGAACTTATGCATAATAAGTATTATCATGTCCATTTTATAGATGAGGAATCTGAGGCCTTGAAGGCCTTTAAGCAGGGGGAGGGCTCTGGGGTGTCTGCCTTCAGAAAGTGATCCTGGCAGCAGGGCGGGAGAATGGATGAGAGAAGGGCCAGCACTTAGGGGCCCCCTTAATTTCTAACATATTGTGACATTTTGTCCCTCTAAACTGGTTAACAAGAGATAAAGAAGTGACCAGTATTTTTAAAAATGGACTGATTCTCTCAAAAGTTTTGTGAGTTGGACAGGCTTTGAAGCACATGGTCATTTATGGAACTGGAAGCTTTTCCTCCCTGTGGCTCTTCCCAGGGGTCCCCAGAAAAGCTTCCCCTTTAGGGACAGCAGTGAAGAATTCCACAGCAGTGTCTCCTGACCAGACATAGCAGAAAACAGATCCAGAGTGATGTGAGTGAACCAAAATTAGCCTCTTTACAAGCTCATTAAAGCATGAAGTTAAGCATCCATTGCCCAAAATACAACAGGAAGGCAACAGGCTTCTCTCTCTCTCTCTGTCCCTACTTCCTCACATTTCCCTTCCCTTCCCTTCCTCCCACCGGGCCTCTCTCAACAGGCAACAATCAAAGCAGGATCTTGGATGGGTGGGTGTCTCCTTCCTTTTCAAATAAACCCAATCAAAGTTCCTGAGAAATCCACTGTAACATTGCATAATTCTAGGCAGGGGGCAGATTTGCAGCCTGTTAGTCTAAAGTCCGCCAGCTCCTTTATTAAGTTTTCATGTTAAAATATTGCTATCCTTAGGGGCATGGAGACAGTTACTGACCCAAATTGTTGCTTCCTAGGAAGCAGACCAGTAAGTAAGTAATATAATTGGGCTTTTTTTTTTTTTAAAGACAGACTGTCTTAGGGGAACAGACCATCTTTAATAACTATACATTTTTTGCATAGCAATTCTAAATATACAAAGCATTTTCACATATGCTTCTTTATTTAATCATTACCCTATCCAGTGGTACAGGTATTGCTAGTTCCATTTTACAGAAGAGGAAACTGAGGCTTAGAGACACAGACCCAGGTCTTCCAATTCCATGTAAATGGTGTGTTTATTACTCTTAACCTCATGGCTTCTCTCTTGTGCTTTCCCCCCAAGTTTATCAGTTGTTATTGTGGTTATTTTTCAAGCTAGCCTTGTGGAGGTGGTCCACCCCGGTTATGAGGCAGTACTTAAAAGTTGTTCAGTTGACAGTGCTTAACATAGTAGCAGAGCCAGAAAGGGTTGTAGAGACCATTTCCAACCTCCTTATTTTACTAATAAGAAACCCGAGGCCCATAGAGGGGGTTGCCCTGCCTACATTCCCAGGGCTGGATTCACTTACCCTGTTCTTGGCAAAACTGTGACCAGGAGCCGAGCCTCCTACTTCTTCTGTCCCCATCCACAGCCTCACAATTTCTTTCAAGCACAACCTTTACAACCAAAGCAAAGAGGAAAGCTAAAGTTAGGACTTTAATATCCATTCCCATCTTCTACCTATTTGATAAAATGGAAAGATCCTACTAATTATGAAATCATGAAATACTGGGTGGAAGGCAACTTGGAGATAATCTAGTGTAAGTTTTTGGTTTTGCAGGTGAGAAAAGTGAGGCCCAGAAAAATGAAGCAAACTGATCCCCCCAAGCAGGGTCTTGACTGAAATCAGGTCTCCTGGTCCCTAGTCACTGACCCCACCTCTGTGACCTCAGCTATGGGCAGCACCGCGCGCAGTTCCCCCAGCTTGTCAGAGACAGTCCAACTGAAAGCTTTCCAACTGAAAGCTTTCCAGACACAGCTACCTGACGCAGCCCCGGCTTTGCCTTGGCAATAGAGATCAGGCATCAGCTGCTGGCTCGCATTATGTGTTCCCAGAGCAACATGGCAAGTGTGAGCTGCCAACACTGAAGTCTCGGGGAATGTAAAGTGTTGAGCCAGTTAAACATCCAAAACTGCCCTGCCTCTCAGAAACAAGGGTGGCTCATCAGAGTGCTTGGCCACCAATGGGAACAGCGTTAGAGTGGCCGCGGAGGCTGAAGCCCACGCTCAGAAGCCTCCAGCCCTTTCCTCGCATTCTCCTCTCCAACCTGGACCCAACGCAGGCTCCACTGGGAAGCCCAGAACTTCCCCCTCCCTGAAACCCTCCGGGACTCTTCAAGTTGGGAGGAGGTCCCCCTTCTCACGCCCTGAGAATCTGCTCTGTACAACTCGACACTTAATTTTATACTGTCTTTCATTGCTTCTTGATCGTTTTGAGTGTTTGTTCTATAGCCGCCATGGGTTGCAAATGCTCTGGGGGGAGGAAGTAAGCTTCCTCCTCTGTACCCTGCAGTGCATCTCCCAGTATCACCCAAGAGCAGAGGTGTGCTCAGGCTCACAGCTACTCCTGCTTCAGACTCTTTCCACTTTACCTGTATTTGCACTTACAGCAAATGCTCAATAAATCCTCACTTGTTTCACTGGGGCTTCAGCCTTTTCAAAGACAGAGTTCAGCAGCCAGGACTTCTGTCAGCACATGCCAAGCCCCTGTGCAAACTAGAGAAAAGGCAGGACACTGGCTCTGCCACGCTGCACGGCTGGGCTGGTGGGGCCTGGGCTTCAGCCCCTCACTGGGCGCCCTGTTGCAGTGAGCCACCTGCACCCCTGGGCTCTCACAGAGGCAGCAACATGACATCTCTGCCACCTGACTCTCCATTCTGACAGGAAGCCCTTACCCGGGGAAGCTGGCATCAGAGGCCTCCCAGCCCCTTCCCTGTCAAAACCAAACGAGAACAACAAAAAGCGCGTATCTTCCATAGTTCCTCGATACTCATAGCCTGAAGTCTACACCACTGGCAGGGCACTTAGGGATCCTCTACAACAGGGTCCCAACTTCCTTTCTTCTACTGTAAGGCCCAGAACTCACCATGAGTTGTCCTCCTTCTGTGCTTTCGCTTTCCCTCAGCTAGGTTGTCCTGTCTTGCTGATCTGTGTGTCAGATCCCTACTCTCCTCTCACATCCCATCCCAAACCTCACCTCCCCCATAAAGTCTCAATCAACATAAATGTTCTCCATGCTTCTCCCTACCTCCAGCCCCCTGCCTTCCGCATTGCTTCAACCTCTTGCACAACCCTTTTCCCACATGTTATTTGCATGTAACCCAGTGGCCAGCTGTCTTTAAGTCCTCTGCCCACACAGGCTTCTCTGTACTCACCCTACATCAACCCAGATGCTGAACTCAACACCACCCTGAGTTCCCCAAAGGAATCCGCTCACAAATTGGGGAACAGATGCCTTTACAAATGCCTTATCTCACAGGAAGGGTAGAGAGCAGGAACCTCGTAGCGAGCCCCCTCTCCCCTAGCAAACTGCTTACTGATCTTTGCAAGCATCCCTGTTCTCCAAATCCTTGCTTGGCAGCCCTGTTCTGGACGTTTCTCTCTCGTTACTCTTCCTCAGCGCACTCCCAGCCAAGTGTCTGCATTCTGTCTCTGCATGTCTTTCCCATTCCTCCCACCCAACTTATTTCCTTCCTGTTCAAATAGGCAGAATAACTCCATGTTGCCCCAACCCCTACCTGCAAGCATGCATCCCCATATCCACCATAATGCCCGGCCAAATACAAGCTCTCTCTCAGTTTCCCCTTCTTTGGAAGGAGGCAGGATTAGACAGAACAAAACTGTTTTCTGGTGACGTGTGGATAAGCGTGTTTCCCTCCACAGAAAATGTGGTTCAGAAGGCGAGGATTTTGTCTTCTACATCCACCCAACCTAGCACAGTGAAAATGCATACAGTAAGCTTGAGACCAGCCTTCTCTTCTATCAGGGACAGCTCTAAGCCCATTCTGTCTCTTGCTTCCTCTTTCTTCCCAAGGAAGGCCCAGGACTAGAGTCAGGGGAAAGTGCTGGAAGACACAGGAGGAGCTTAACAGATAGTCAAGAAATGAATGAGTCAGTGAGTGAAAGGAAAACAAGAAAAGATAAAAGAACTTTGAGAGCACCCTCACCAGGATTATTTCAGACCAGCTGAAGGGAACTTTAAGAACCAAGCCAGGATGATAGATAGATAGATGACAGGTGAATGGTAGGATGAAGTGTGAACATGAGGTCCTTGGTACTGGCACTGCCTTCACTATGCTCTGGAACCTTTGGGAAATCTCTGAGCCTCAATTTCTCATGTGTCCCTTCATCCTGCCTGCAGATGGCCCAATATGGACGCTGACCATCAGGGTCCTCGGGGCTGTTTGACATTCATGTTTGAGGCTTCTTCCCCAAATGCCCAGACACCCAGGGACCCCTGGCGCCTCTGCATCCGCCGAAAGCTTTTCTTGGCTGCAGTCCTGAGCCGGGGACCTTTACTGCCTGCTGGCGGAAAAGAATTCTCAGTTGTGGAAACTGGTAAACTTTACGTATTTTACAGATGAGAGACCAAACTCCGGATGACTCTAAATGTGCTGTGAAATGGACAGAAGTCACCCTGCTGGTGTGACATGCCTGAGATAGTGTCATCACCACCACTGTCACCCCATACAGACCTGCATGTCATGGAAAGAGTGGTGCCTTGGCCAATGTTGGCCCTCATCACTTACCCCTCACTCCCAGCCCCTTTTCTGTGCTTTTCTACATTTTAAAAGTAAGAAGAGGTCTATTTGCTGTGCAGGAAAACAGCCCATGGTCACCTAAAAGCAAAGGAGAAAGGGAATTAACCCTCAGTCCTGAGACCTGATCCAGCGATCAGAGCCCAGCTCCGGTGAGCTGCGGCGGTTGCCACTATACCCGCGGAGGGAGAAAGCTTTTCAGATTGAACAGCCACCAATCCCCAGCCTCCAAAAAAGGTCCCTGGGCAGGGGCAGTGATTTGAATGCTAGAGACAGTGCCTAGGGAACGGAGCGAATTTGTTGACTTCTAATTTTTTGATTTTTCTTTGACTTGGTCGAGATAGTGAGGCCGCCTAGGCCCTGGCTGAGATGTGGGTATTTGTCAAACCATTGTCCCTGTCCCCTGAGTCAGCGGGCCTTTGGCCTCTCCCTGCGGAGCCCACCACTGCTGCATCCTCTGCAAACCACCCAGCCTCTAACTCTTCCTCCCAAACCGAAGCCCTACCCGTGAGAAGTGCCCGAACTACCAAGGGGGCGCGGGCTCTCACGGAACCCACCCGCATTCACGCGTGTGTGTGCGCGCGCGCGCGGGGGTGTGGCGCGTGTGCGCGCGCACGCGGTTGTGTGGCGGGGGGCGGGCTCTGCGCCCGCAAGCAGGGCTCAGCTCTGAGCGTGGCATCCTGACTTGCCCGCTGCGAGGGGCAGGGCGCCGCAGTGCCGTAGTAGCGGGCAGCCGAGACGCACCGCTCGGGAGCCGCGGGTACCGGAGCGGGCAGAGACCCCGGCGCTGCCTAACCCCCACCGGGCCGCCCGAGCTCCAACCCCCTACCCGGGAGGGCTGCGCGGGCCGCAAGACGCCCAGACGCCAGCCTCGGTCCCCTTTCAGTCTCTCGGTTCATCTTTCCTCCCAAGTAAGGGAATAAGCCCCAAGGAAGGAGCGCTCAGGAGAACCGCGCAACAAAGTGTTGCATGCTGAGGTAAGACCGTGGCCGGCGCGGTGGAGGGGGGCTCGGGCTGGGGGCGCGGGTTGCAGCAACTTGGAAAAGGGGAGCAAAGCGGGAGCCGGTCCCGTGGCCAGGGGACGGAGCTGCAGACAAGGCCTCGGCGCGCCCCACCGCCCCCGACGATGCCACCTGCCACACAGCCCCTGCCGGAGGAGATGCCCCGCTGGCAGGGTGAGGGCACGGGGAGGCGCCCGGGGTGGCGCACCGGCTTCCTCTTCGACTGGGAGGACCTTCCGAACCTTAAAGGTGTGCGGGCGGGAGGCGTCCTGGTTCCACGCAGTTTGCTGAAGCAACTGGTCAGATTTCGCCCCTTCTAGACTTACCTTTGGTATTCAGTTCGCGCTCCAGGGTGCACAAGGGCGGCAAAGAGCGGGGACACTTTTTCTAACGTCTGGCCGCCAAAGCGTCTGACCGTCCCGCGGGGTTCCAGGACTTTGGGGGACTCCACAAAGCCCCCGAGCTAGGGGTCGTAAAGGGAAGCTGAAGCGAACGCGGAGACCTTGACAAATAGTAGCTACGGAAGGAGAGGAGGGTCAGGGAGAGAACGTCGGGTTGACCTGTTTAGTCTCGGAGTCACAAGATGTGTGTTCCTGTGTGTGCGTGCATCTAGTATCACCTGTGGGGCTTTCGAAAACTCCACCAGTGCACCCATCCTGCACATTCAGTGATTTTCGTCCTCTAGACGAGTGGGCTAGAATTTGGGGAGGGGCTGTGGAGTTCGAAAAGGCCCTACAGGTGATTCTGATGCGCTGCCCCCATCCGTGCCATCACTGCAGCGGGAAGCACGAGACCGGAGCCAGGAGGCAGCTCCCAGGTGTGAGCGATCCAGGTGCGGGACTCAGACCTTCCCGCATCCTCCCTCTTTCCCCGCGGTGAGGCAGGAGGGTCTGCAGCAGCGCGCGGTGATTTGTGGCTGCGCCGCAGTGGCGCGCAGTAGAGCTGCGAACCCGCGGGCACGCTCGCAGGCGGGCGCTGGGCGGCTGTCTCCTCCGGCTTCATTAGCATACGATGACCTCGCTGTCCGGAAGAGGGCCTGGGAGGGCCGTTTTTTCTTCTTTCATTTCGGGACTTGGGGGAACGCACCTTGGTTTGGGAGGTGTGGACCAGGGGGAGTCGCTGATGAGGGGCAGCGGTCAGGACACAGGGCTGGGACACAGGACACACAGGACACAGGGCTGCCCCTCGGGTTCGAAAGGGGGAGACGACGTCGCTATTTCGGTGCCTGGGATTTTTTGTTTAAAAAACAGCCCGCAGAGTCGCTTACTGGAGCACAGGGCATCCCTCGTTGTCAGCGAAGGGTATTAGATCATAGGGGGCAAGTGTCATCACTATTTGGACACACACACACACACACATACAATTTACCTTTGTGCTTTATGCCCCTCTCATTCCAGGGCTGTGTCCTAACGTGGGAAGGGACTTAGTCTTCTTAAAAAGGGCTGTACTTGCCTCCTTTCCGAAGGTAAATGATACTCATGAAATACAGCGTCTGCCACTAAGCTAACTTCCTTGCTTAACCTCCCATCCAAGTCTTTTCTTTACGGATCACCCTTAACGTTTGTGAATAGCACTGTAGGCGTTATTACAAGCATTTTTCTGGGAGTGGTGTGGGAGTAGGCAGCAAGTGGATGAGTCTTTGCCACCTTACAATCTCATGTCAGTGTTTGGTTCAGATCAACCCAGACATGGGGAGAAAATGATAAACAATCAGAGTGTCTTGGAACCTAGACTTTCAGAGGTAGGAGAAACTACTGAGGACATCTGTTCCAGCTCCCCCTCAAATCTTGCAGAGCACCTGCAGCAGGTAGGGGAGGATCCCGCCAACCTTGCACTCCCAGAGGTCCCAGCTGTGCTCGAGAGGCTCTGCTCAGGAAGGTACCCATAAAGCAGCAGCTCTTCCCTCTACTGCTGATCCCTAGAGGGGAGGCTGCGCCTACCGTTTTTGTTGTGGTAAAACTCTTTTTTTAAAAAAAAAATCTTATTGTATTGCAACACTATGATATACCTTTTTAGTGTAAAGGTAATTCATGTTGAAGGTAGAAAATGTGGGAAGTTGAAAAGTGTGCAAAGAATCAAACCACCCACAATTGCACACAAATCAGATTAGTGTGTAAAATATGTAAATGGCATAACATCCCACTTCTCCACACAAATAATTAGAACAGCCCTCACTCCTAGGAAGGTACATCACTATCAGAGCCACATTCAGCCAGCCCAGCCAATCAGTAACAGCTTCTTCACATACTGGCCATTTTCGAAGAAGTGTTTGTTTACACCAAGTATTAGAATTCCACTACCAAACCACAGAGGGAGTTGATACCTTTTCATATGTAACAGAGTTCACCTGCCTCATTTCCCTTCCCCATCCCAGCCGCTCAAGGCTAGTGACTATGGATCATGCAGTAAAAAATAAAGTGATACATATCATCCAAAAAATGTCCTCAGGTGAAAAGAATGTGGCCACAGAAGAGAAACTGAATTAGGCAATACGAAAGGGGAAATTTTGTGGTAGAGAATTTTCCAGCTAATAGACTGGGTGCTCTATGTGCATTTCTCTTTGGATGAACCTTTATTCTGCTCAGATTGGTTGGTCTCAGAAATGCACCTGAAAGCTGTCTGTATTTCCACACGTGACTGTTAGCATTTTCACTTAATTCATTAAATTCATTAATTCATTAATTCATTAATTCATTAAAATTAAATAAAATTAAGATTTCAGTTTCTCAGTCACACTAGTCACATTTCTAGCACTTAAATGCCACATATGGCTTCCGGCTGCCATATTGGAGAATGCACGTATAGAACATTTCTATCATTGCAGAAAGTTCTACTGGACAGTGCTGGTTAGATTGTAAGCTTGGTGCAGGCAGAGGTGTGAATTTTGTCTTCCACAGTATCCCCTGCAACCAACACATTGCCTGGCCAGAGGAGGACGAAGGGGAGGAGGAGGGACGGCGGTAGGAAATGTAGGGTAACATTAGCTATACCATTTATTGGGCACCTACTTTGTGCCCCTCACTGTGCTGTATTTTGTGCATGCATTGTCTTACTTCAGACTCAAATCACTACAAGCCTGGTGGTAACCTTATTTCACAGACAAGGAAACTGAGTCTCAGGAAGTTTACGTAAGTGGTTGTAAAGCTAGTAGTAGAGAGGCTGAGTTTTAACTCAGGCCCTTATGATTTCAAAGCCTATTTTCTCAGGGCTTTTGCTTGTAATGTAATGCTTTGTAATGTGAATTGTCATCATCTTGGCTTCCCAGGAAGTCAGAGAAAGGGTTCTCTTGAAGGCTTCCCAAGGGAAATATTGGTATTATTTGCAATGTTAATAGCATTTCAAGAGTGTAAAATTTTGCTTGGGGGCTCAAGAGGTTTTGTCCTTGGATGGGTGTGACGTCAGGAGAAAGGAACCCACCCATAGTGTGGTCTGACCAGAGAGCCAAAACCTAGGAGAGCGGGCCAGCCAACCACCACCCGCTGTGCTTCTCCACAGGGAGGCTGATCATCACCCTCGGAGAGAAGAACTGGCTTGGTTAGGATCTCACCACCAATATTGGCATAACCTGGCTCCTGACTCCCTGGCAAGTGCCCTTCCCACTGCACCATCCTGCCCCATAGGCCACTGGCTCCAGTGTTGTCCTATCATTATCACTGTTGCCCCATTTTCCCCTAATTTCTTTATTCTTAATGAATAAAACACAGCATTTCAAGGGATGCTTAATCAACACCAAGTACAGTGAGTTTATCACTTCCTTTTTTCTACATCTCATGTTTCTCTTAAAACCCTGTCAGGTTGAACCAGCAGTCTATACAAGTAACATCTGTTGAGTTTAGTATCGGCTGAAAAAACCCAGCTGTCTTTTAAACTTACTCTTGAACTGTATCCCCTGCCTGCCACCCCCTTCCCCTTCCATGCTTGTACAGATGCTACCTGGGACTCAAATACAGAGCCCTTGCATTTATTCCCAGTTTTATCTTGTTTAATTCAGTCTGTCTTGCCAGCTTGCCCAGATATTTCTGGCTTTGATTCTGCTATCCAGCATATATACTGTCCCTTCCAGCTGGCTTCCTGTTGTCCCCAAACCTGATGACCTCTTCAACTAAGTCATCAATAAAAAATGATGAATATTACAGCATTCTGAGACATTCCACTATATGCTCCTGAAAGACAATGTTAATTCAATAAGTAAATAGCACTCTTTAAGAAAATTTATTTAACTTCTTGTACTATCACTAAATCCATAATTCTTCATCTTTTTCAAAAGATTATCAGAGGAATCATATCAAACGTTTTGATAAAGTCCAGATACTCTTTATCACTGGTATTTCCCTGATCTCCCTGCCTAATAATGTTGTCAAAGAAGCAATTTTGTTACTTTGACATAAACTACTAGCAGTTAACCCACTTTGATTTCTCAGGATCACAACTTCACTCCTAAAAGCTCATTCCACATCCTGTTCTACAGTGTTTCCTGGGATTAACATCAACACCTCAAGTTAACACATTTTTATAAGTTATTTTTCCCATTTTAAAAAAGTAAAATTGTCTTTGCCGTGAGGGTGATGGTGATAGTGATGATCGTGATGATGGCGGTGGTGGTGGTGGTGGTAATAATGGTGATGGTGGTAGTGGCTTTCTTATTCTATGATTCTGAACAGATTAAGGAGAGTGGCTCAGTGATCTCAATTGCATGATATCTTGGCACCCTGGAATATATTCAGTAAGGCCAAAAGATTGTATTAATTTGAGGCAGATCTAAGAGTCTCTAGCGTCACGGAAAAATGAGATCAGAGAAGGAGCCAAGGAAGCAATGGGTCCCAGGCCTTCCTATTCAAAATGAGGAATCCTCCCTCTAAAGGGGAAGGGCCCTGCATGGGCTCACACCTCCAGGACAGACCAAGGTCTCACCATTCTTCCCCAGTGCTTTGTCCAGGGCATACTCCTTCTTTTCATCTCTGATTCTGAAGAAGCCTAATGCTTTGTTTCCTGCAGAAATGTTCTTTTATTCTCTTGGAATTAACCTCTTAATCATTGATGGTTTTCATTGATGTCTCAGTGAAAATTAAAGATTCTTTCCTGGTATCATGATTTAAAAGGAGAAAGGAGAAGCAAGCTTATTTTCCAACTGGGAAATGGGTGGAACTGGGTAGAACAGAGAGAGAAACAGATAATCATGCAGCATTACCTTTAGATGAGAGTCAGAGGAGGGTCATCTCCCCAGCCTGGGAAGGTATTGGACCAAGGAAGTCAGGTAATACTCTCTGGAGTAGATGGGCTTCAGCTGAAATCCAAAGGCTGGCTAAAGGTTAAGTGAAGATATGAGTATAGGTAATATATTCTAGTTAGAGGGAACAGTGTAAAGCAAGGCTCAGAGGCAGCTCTTGTCTCCAGTGTTGCTGGAGCAAAAACTGTGCATTGACAAATGAAGGGAGATGAGTCTAGAGATGTGGACAGGAGAGTCTTGTCTCCCAAGTTAAAGAGTGTGGATCGTTTCTCATAGACAGTGAGGGGCCACCAAGAAATGTTAGGTGGGAACTGACATGATCAGATTTTAACATTAGAGCAGCCCCTGTAGCTGCAGTGTTGGGAGGGTAGAAGACAGGAAGCAGGGCTGCCCATTGGGAGGCTTTTTTTGGAAGTTAGGAACTATGAGGGCTGGACAAGCTAGTACGGATGGAGGAAGGGACAGAATCAGGAAAGAACTGGCAATTAGGTGGATATAAAGGTAGTGAGGAGGGCAGAGGAACCTAGCAATTCCCAGGCTTCTACCTTGTGCATCTGGGAGGATAGTGGTTCCATCCACCAAGAGGATCAAGGAGCAGGAGTGAGGTTATTGATGAGTTCAGTTTGGGGCCTGCTAAATTTGCAATGTTGGTGAGAGATGCAGATGGAGAGGTAGTTGATAGATGAG